TAACAACGGAATTTAGTCATTTCGAACTCAATCCTTTTCATTTTTCAGTGAAAATACTTAAAAGCATTTTAAAAAATAAATATCATTCGTTTCTAAGTCTTTTACAATAACAACAAAGCTTGAGAATACCATGCATTTTGTGTGACGATTTTCTTCAGTAAATTCGGTTTTTCAGTATTCCAATTTCATATAAAAACCATTGGACTGTTTGCACATAACATTGATTGAAAAAAGGATGGAATACTGCTAGTAAAATACTGCGATAAAGAACGGACTTTTATGTATTGGCTATCTGCATGGCATCTTAGAATAACCATAGGCTATTGAAATGAATTTCAAGCATGTAAACCATTTGTATTTTGAATCTTATTCAGAACAGCACGATTTAGACACTATTCAAGTAATTATGCATTCTTTGATTTCAAATACTGACCTAAAGGTTGTATATTACTTTAAATTTAGTCACCTCATCAATGAACGATTGTAGAACTTCCAGAGTTTCAGAACCGTCGAAACTGTTTTATGTAAGGAAACATTTCTATCAGAATGTCGAAATGTTCATAGAAATATCATTCTATGTATGTCATTCAAAGACGTTGGTGACCAGCGAGATATTCACTTTTTATGACTAGAAATCACACTTTACAGGTCTTTATAACAAATCCATATAACTACAATAGAAGTATTTCCATCTTAATTGGTTAATTAGATTTATCACACGATGTAACAGTAGCGTTTATAAGGTTACATTTCGGACATAGTTTATTGTCCATAGTCATATCAAGATAACTACACAACTTTGAAACATCCTTCATATAGTGTTAATTCCCCCTCCCCCTTTGTGATATGGTATGTGATATAGTAATTAATATTTTCCATATATCGAGAACAGATGTTGAGTCGTTTCTGTTGAATGTATTAGGTTTTGGTTCAATAAACGAAGATCTAGTTATCCATCTCTCCCTCAACCTTCCTATATTGGCTTTAAGGACTAGAACCGGTGTTTTCAACGTGGTATGATGGTCAAAGCCTGTGAAGCAGGTTACTACGAAAAAGATGACAGAAATGACTTGTCCGGTGTAATAACTTTACCATTTGCTAAAAATGTTGAAGAAGAAACTTATGCGAAGCAAAGTGGACCTATTGTACCTGGTATTGTTTGTTTTCATAATAATTATGAATATATATATATATTTGAAAAACTATATTTAAAAACGCCACTATATTGGTATTATTAAGTAACGATACTTTAGTAGAACCGATCAACTCTTGTTCAAGTACAGCACTGTCAAGATCTTAACTTTTTGTCAAAACCAAAAGTTCAGCAGTTTCAAATGACTTCAAATGGATATTCAAAGTTACCGAAAGTCAAAACAGGAATCCACCTTGAGAATTCTCATGAAGATTTAGCTTGTTGAGATTGTATTGAATATTGATAAATACAGTGACTCCTTGACACCTAAGCGAAATTATATGAATAGTGGTAGTTAATCTATTCATTTCAAATAGCTTTGTAATTTTGTTTTGTTATGCTAGGTCACTCTGACTTACTAACCTCTTGCAAACGGAACGTCGACATAGTGCCTCTTCTTAGTGTATTATATTGAATTGATAGAGCCGGGATAGAGTGTTTAAAATATGTCAGAATTAAAAATTGATAAGTTAACACTCACTAGTTTCTTTTGATAATAGAGTCAGAAACTCGTGAGTGCAGTAATCCCAAGGACGAGTTATCTAAGATTTGACTTTTATCTGTTTATATGTATTAGTTGGCTACTGTACAACTGTAGTTGTATTTAGTTCATTAAGGTATCCGAAATCTACAAATATAGGTGTTACCCATTAACAATTCGATAAATTACCTTACATCTTTTCAGTCCGTTTAAGGGTATGATGCAGTATGAGGTTGGTTTCTGATGACTATACTGAATATCAAAGCCTCCCAGAATGGCTTCTACTTTTAATTTATTCCTGAATGTTTTTAAGACGAATCTGTAGATTAGTTGCTTCCCTTTATTATATTGAGGTGATGCACGGTACTGTGAACAATTCTACTTTGAAACTGTCCTCCAGAATTTCTAAGTGTCTTTCAAATAGGGTAGGTGTTTTCTTAACGAAGACCAAAGAGTTTAATGAGGATTTGCTGTTTTCAATCTCAAGGTAAAGTTAGTTCTTCGTTTTGTTGGAACATATTTTCATGATTACTAAGTATCTAAAATTGTAGGTTCTATAATTTTCTGGTGCCTGAGTGGAGCTCAGAAACAGCAAGCCCATGAAAACCAGGCAGGCTTTAGACCCTGCCGTGGGTGTATCTACCAAATATTCACACTGTGCCGGGTTCTGGAATACAAGCACGCTTATCAACGCCCAACAATATTTGCATTTCTTTACCTGAAGGCCGCAATCGACCTCGTTGTTAGAAAAGTCTTACGACAACGTCTCTCACTGAAAGGCGTGACGAGTAAGTGTATCACTATACTGAAGGCTGTCTACTCAAACAAGCGAAAAAGGCTAGAGGCGACGGGACTAAAACACGACACCAATGTACGAAGTCTTTGACCGTTGGTTTGAGCTAAGTGACTAGCCAGTTGGGGTCCGTAGGACAAGAGAAACTAGTGGCTGGAGATTCTAGGCGATATGGCTCATAAAGGATATCACTGGCGCAGATGTATACAAACATTATCCTCATCTTGATGCTATACCGAATCTCACTTTTTTTAGTCCTTCCTTTCTCTCTTTCTTCCGACTGGGCTTTCTTTTCTTTATCTTCTACTACACTGCCTTTCTACCTGATGTACTGATATGACGTTTGGCAACTCGAACCGTTACGCAGTAACGTCTGATCCTATTTTGATTTTGATGGATGGATGGTTTTTAAGAGTTTTCACACTGCCACATCCTATTGCGTCAGTGGTATCTTTGTATCCTATAAACCATAATTTTGGAGTCAGGCGGAGTGTTTCTACAGCCATCCATTCCTAACTATCCATAAATGTATCTGGCTAAATAGGGGATATTGCGGACCTGATGACATCTCCTTCTGTTCGTTTGTATATTTTGTTTCGAAACCTAAAGATTGTGAAGGTTGAGCTTAGCTGTACTCCGAACAAGATAACATCTACTGGCACTTTAGTTCGGAGCGTAAGCTCAGGCTCATGGTCGGCCAAGGTCGACTAAGTTATCCAGGCACAAAACTAGCTCGATCGAAATTGGTAGAGCTTAGTAAGATAATGAATTTACAGAAAAGCTCAGCTATAGCTTTGCATGCAACCACACATAACCACACAATGAAATATGATCGTTTGAAAATCCTTAAAGCCAACACAGGAAGGTTGAGGGAGAGATTGATAACTAGATCTTCGTTTATCGAACCAAAACCTAATACATTCAACAGAAACGACTCAACATCTGTTCTCGATATGTGGAAGATATTAATTACTATATCACATACCATATCACAAAGGGGGAGGGGGAATTAACACTATATGAAGGATGTTTCAAAGTTGTGTAGTTATCTTGATATGACTATGGACAATAAACTATGTCCGAAATGTAACCTTATAAACATTACTGTTACTGAGGTTAGGTACTTGGTGCCTTATTGCTAGGGATGGAAGAGTGGATACTCGGGACTTTGGGGCCTTCTTTATTAGTAGGAGTGCGCGAACTGTCTTGTACACCATTTTCATGCATTTGTACCTAATTATTAGTCGAGCTCTTGGTTGGTGACGTTTGGTTGACCTGGGAAACCAAAATAGGCGTACATACGTCATTATGTTGACATACTCATTTATATAACAGAACAACGTGATCTCTTTGTTTTAATTCTAGTGAAAATATATGAAAACAGAACTTGTTGAATAGATTCTTCTTCTGTCCTAAGCCATGATTTCTCAAAATATCCAAAATAGTTGTTGATTTTCAGTCTTTGCTTGACTTTCTGTTTCCTTTACCAGGCTTTACTCTATTCATTATGATGCTGAACTTCCAGTATTTATATAATAATCTGCTTCACTTTATAATAAGGATTTTGAATACTTCAGTTTCCTCCACCATTGTTTAATAAAACAAGTAGAATAAGTGGTCAAACGAATGTAATCGTGAAGTGGTACATACCATACACGTTGTTACTGTTACATTCTCCCCTCAGATTTATTTAAAGATTCGAAATAAAATAAATTGTGTTTAAAATACTTGGCTAAACACGGTTTTTTAAAGTACTTTTTCCTCAACTTAGTTTTTCGTAGACGATACTTTAGAGATCATTGCTTTTTCAGGAATATGATACGCTTAAAATGTTGATCAGTAAATGAATGTTCGCTGTGAGACCTAAGGACAGATTGAGATTGTAGATATGTACCATGATATGTATGCAACCTAATGACCAAGAAAAGACAGCTCTTGGTACTTTTCTAAGCATGTTATCAACCATCGGATTCTTTTAACTGTTGGTACATTGCATGATGCCATTACATATGATACTGTTAAGCTATAAAGAGAAAAACTTTATGAAACATTTTATATTTGTTTCATTTGGTTTCATATCTTTCAAGTAACGAGAACTCATTCTTTAACTTTTGAGGTGTTCAGTGACATCTTTTAAGTAGTGCCCGAGGTTTCTGAACGTAAGCCATCATAATTTTCCAGCTTTTTGTGTGAACCAAAATTTAGTTAACCTATTTGTACAGAATCTGCCTCATTCATTTTAAAATACCATACGATGTCTTGTTTACTAAGTCATAGAGTTAGGATAGTTACTGTGAATCTGCGAAATACTCACTGACTTTCAATTTATGCTCCTAATATTGTCTGAATGAATGTTTAACTGTTCATATGGATGATAAAAGAATGCAATTAGATGGTTCACTTCGCCAAGCTCACATATATGGATGGTAAGTTAAGTGTTGATTTATCATGCCTTTGGCATACACAAGGATGCATTAAACTGCCCCAGTGAATTGTTTTGTTTCTGCGTCACAAACAAAAAGTGGGTTTTGTAATTATTTTATTAGATGTTTGGGGAGTGAAAATACATCATATGTAACGGGATTAGTATTGATCCAGCTGAAAGTTAGAAAAATAACAAATATTTTATGAGAAAAAAAAACAAGTAGAGATGTTAATTTGAGAGTTTACACCAGATGCAAGATGATGACATCATGTTGACTGTATAGAAGTTATAAACACAGTGTCAGTTGAGAATAATGGCCTGTGGATATTCGCAGCTCTCAAGGTAAATCTCTAACTGTTACATTACATAAAAGGGTCTTGACTAGACAGTTCCTTCTAGATTGGAAGGTTCCATTTCATTGCATGTAATAATCTAGTTAAACTGATAATGACTCTCGTGAACAGCTAGATTTCTGTGATCATTTCAACAGAAATTTAAGATCTATTCAAATAGAGGTTGTATTAGTTAACGGTATTTTAAACATAGTGTTGAATTGATCTCTATTGAACACTGGATAAATCATCTGCGGACAACAATCAAATATCATGTCTTCAGCTCCATTTCGTATTTCAGCAAAGTAGCAGATAACCTACACAGTTTTTGTTCTCTTAGATATTGATAAAGATAAATTTACAATATGGTTGACGATTCATACTCTTGCTTAATACAGCAAGCACAACGCCTCAATTTTATTTACGACAGAACATTACAAAATTTCAGCAAAGTTGTTCTCCTTTCAATATGTTTTAACGTCTTACTCAACCATATGAATATTTATGTTAAAAACATTTGAAAGTACCACACTTTCCTCTTAAATGAACTTGATTGAAAATCTGTGTTTCATTGGGATAACTTTTAAGATAAGCTATGGCTTTAGCCACAACACCAAGCCGTCAGTTGTGTTTGTATATCATTTCATTCACTGCGTGTTTTAATCATCCATCGTGCCAGTGAAAGATTTATAACTCTGAATTCAAAATAACACCAGATTCAGTTTTTGCACTGTAATCTCAGTGAAGATCAACCTTAATTGCGAAGAATGAGACTATGATTGATTGTCATTTAAACTGTTTGGCTAGCAGGCTAGTCTTCATGTACAAAGAGTAACCCGAGGGGTGGCTGGTATGATAAGGAACAGAGATTCAAATGTTCTTTATTATAAATATCGCTATCAATCAACTTAGCGTGTTATGTTTGAAATCTGCCAAGCAGTTGGTTTAAGGGACTCAGCCAGGAAATAAATAGATCATTGATCTGGAAACTGTTTGTTCGAAATAACGATTTATGCAAAACATTTAGTAGCGAAAAAGATCTACATATGTGGTATGGGAATTTGGAAAACACTTTAAGCACGATCTCTAAAATAAGTTTTGGTGGAAAAACTTATATCAGCATAAAAACCGCCACTCAATGGGAAAAAAAATACTCTCAAGGTAATGTTTGCTTATCATATTTTAATGGCATTCGTTACATAAAACTTTATTTAGTTAGCGAGGTTTATGCATATTTCATGCATAGAAATTGGGAAACACTTTAGTGACCAAAGGAATATTTATCTTCCTTACAAAAAGAATGATTCCATTGTTGAATTTCATAAAAATCAGCGACTCTTTTAACCAAAATGTACAGGTCAGTCATGACGCTAGTCAGTCTACGAGGAACTGAATCATGATGGTGAAATCCTTAACTTCAAAACTAGACAATGCACGTAGCAATTTCTGCAAAAACATAAGTCTTCTCAAAATAACAAATAAATCTCACTATTAGGCTTAAAAGTATATAAAATGTTGTTCAAAAGTTTTCTATAAATTTAATAAAAATATTTAACAAAGAAAAACCTTTTTTATGTCGTGCAGTAGATTACTGAGTCTAATCAACGAATTCCTAACATTCTTACGTAACATAAATATGTCCACGTAATTTTCATACACAGTTTACAAAGCAAGGTAACTGATATACCCAAACACTTCTCATATTCAAAAAAAATATTCAGTGAACTTGACTTACGTATATTTGTAATCCCTCTTACTTTTATGAATAGTTTTTTCTTCAACAAAGTGAAGTATACTAGAATTACAAGTAGAGAATAAGTTCATATGTAAATCACAAGAACGATTTATACTAAGTGAAATTTTAGAATACGTAAAAGAAACTATTGTGTAACTGTTTAGTTCGATTCAAATCAGTGTATTTTTTAGAGAATTACCTACTGATTAAAGACAATGGTGAGAATTTATTATATATTTATAGATATTATGACGTACCTATTAATTTGTTTAAAACAATGGAGAATCTTCTTTGTTTCGACCGGGTCATTGTATTGCATGAAACAAAGTTTTTTTCTATAAACTCACCACAGTAACTGAAATTCGTCAAAAGCTTATTATATAATTCCGAGAGCGACCTTAAGGGAAGCGCTGTTTTTACAAAGGAATTGCATATATACATGTACGCATAAATATGTTGAAACGAAAAATAGTTATCTGTGTTGATTTACAGTAATTCAGAACAGTTGTACTTACGTAACATATTTCTGTTGAATTAATTCTCACAATACTGTAAAGTGTTTGTTCTACAACGTTTCTCCCCCATGGAATACACTACGAATGTATACAGAAGTGTTAAAAATAGTAAAAAACCATGTGAATTAGCGACTATTGAAAAAAATGTATATGGCTCATGCAATTGTTGGTAACAACAAATATCTTTAAGAAATGCTATATATAGAGGTGGTATTCATTACATAATCCCTGAAAACCTGGGAATATCGGGCAGCTGTTTCATCCTAGTATAAGACTTCTTAACAGTACGCATCCACTATCCGGTTAGGGGTCGGACTCAAGATTTTCCGGTTTTACGGCAAACGTGTTAACCATTCAGCCACTGAGTTGGTTTTCAGTGGTTCACAGTTTGTAACTGCTGTCAACTCAAAATATAGTGAAACTATCACCCAGGGTCTTCAGTTGGCATCCACTTCTCTCCCAACTGCTTGACCTTATATGTTATGGCTTCTCAACAGAAATTCTTGATATCTCGTGCTCTCAGGTTTTCAGTAGTTCCCAAACTGATGTTAATCCATGAGAAATACCCATTCATGTCAAAAATAAAATACCATGTGTGTTATTTATAATTGGGGTGCTTAGTGAGTAGCGGATATTTTCATGAATGTATTGTTAATTTTAGTGTATGAGAAATAAAATGATTTCAGAGTTATCCACATCTTTATTTCAATTACTGCAATATTATTCAGTATGTACTCCTTATAAACAAGTAGCTCATGGTTGAACTTTATTACTTAAAACTCAGTATAAGCTTCATCTTTAAAGCACATTTACGTTAACAACATCATTGTTCCCGTTCCTATCAGTCTTCATTGATGTTAACATATTTTTTTAGATTTTAAAACAATGTAACAATTTTATGTCTTGACTAGTATTTTTGTTGATTAAGTAACAGCGAACTATTGACAAAATAAACGTATACAATACATATATTTTACAGTAGTTAAGAAAACATTTGGTAACCGTATTTGATGAAACTTCACTTTGTACGTTAGTTAACCTATTTAGGAGAATGAAAGCTCATCTGAAACTAAATTTAAATCTGTTGAGATGTTTTATTGAAATGATAGATGATTTGTCTGTTATTTACTAGGTGTAGAGATCATGGGAAAAAAACCTAGAGAATAATAGTATCATGGGTTGTTCTCGAAATTAGACGTTACCTAAACTTCTCAATAGGTTTATGCAGTAACAATGAAATCCCATAATTTTACACACAAATTAAAGTCGTGTTATATATTCAGATGATTTAATGTGTGCGATGATAGTTCAATTCTACTAGAATTAAAGTCACCGAAATAAACTTATGATGTGTCAGAAGTTTGTTCTTATATTGGTCATCAGTGACACACAGTATATTTTGAAATAATGGAGAATATTTGAAGCTCAGGTGGATGGTCTTGGTTGTATTGTGTTCTCTGGGCTGGGTTGTTTAATTGTGGAGCTTTCATCGTCTTGCTAGACAATTAAACAACTCACCTCAGAGAACATAATACAGCCAAGACACACACAGTATATTCTTATAAGGAGTGAATAATCAAATATTTTCATTTTTCATTGTGATGTAATATCGTTTTGACCTCGTTTTTCACTATGTTTTGAAGGGATTTTGAAGGAATTGCAAAGACGTCAGTTAGGAGTTTGTTGCATTGTACTTATGGATTCATTGGGCAAATAATTCAAACTTTATGAAATGGGTTAATTCACTTCTGCCTCAATAACATGGTGAATAATGCTTTGGTGTTTGACGGGATAGTATCTAGCCTTGAACCCCAGTGAGAACAACATCTTCCGCCGTAGTGCAAATACATTCAGCCACTCCTAGCCAATAAATAACAAGCAAATTAGAATATACTGAGTAATCAAGTGATATCGAAGCACCTGCATAAAAGCCCATTTGCCCATTTGTGAATATGATTTATAATGTCTATAATCAGATATTTGGTGGTGGTATGTTAAAATTAATAATAACTTTTACCAAGCGTCCAAAAATGTCCGACACTTTCGATCGTTGAAAAATTAGTGGAATAATTTACAGGTGCTTAATACAAAATGTATTTTAACTTACCCTTTTAGTTACTATTCCAGGCAACGTACATAATCTTCCAACAACCAGTTCCCCTAGATGGTCCACTGAAGGCGACAAGAGAAACACCTTTCCTAGATTCACCAAACCTATACATATTTCACATTCTGAGAGATGTAGTTGTGTAACAGCACAAATTGTGATTACAACTTACCCAAGTTATTAGTTTGAGGTAACGGGAATTTTTCAGCCTGAATTTCAAGAAAGAATATACCCGTATAACCAGTTATTTGATAAAAAATCAGTATTCCAAACATATATTCAGCATTTGATGAAATAAATTCAAAATACATTTGTGGAAGAATTCTATAAGGAAATGTTGACACTCTGCATAATTCATATGGAGAGCTAATATCGGCAGTGAACATCGAACAATAACTGTTCATGTCAAAAATTATTCACTTCAGTATAGATTTTATTCATCAACCATTTTGGTACCTTGATGTTATCCGGTTGATTTTTGACTGAATATAGAAAGGAAAATCTGTTGAGATAAAGTGGTGGACATCTAACTACTTCCCTGTTGTTTAGATGAAGTAGGTTTTTATGCCTTTAGTACTCAAAAGTTGAGAAGTTTTCTGCATTTAACAGTTTCATACTGTACATAATATCTTCTGAGCTTTATTTCGACGATTACTTTCGGAAGGGTAACTTCGCTTTCTATAGTAATTATAGCCTAATTTCACCTGGTATGACAAATATTTTTGTACTGTTTGAATGAAGCAACAGTCATTTAGTATATGTGAACTAGAACATCCTATAAGTATTCAGTGCCATTTGTGATGTACAAGCCATACGAAAAATATTTCAATATAGTAGGTTTATAATGTAGACCCAACAATTCCAAACTCCCACGATGACTACGTGCTCACAGTCTTAGAGGTATTTAATAAATATATTAACCGTATGCCAAAGTGGTCACTACCGTCAAGTCCAGTTTTCAAATGAGGTCAGTTTCATCTTATTGGTAAAATATGCAGATCAGTGCGAATAATTTACAGTTTTTTCATTCTGCACGGCAATATATTGTGTCAATTTACCAGACTTTCATGTTACGGGGTCACAAACTATAATACTGATATAGACGTAGTATTCATCATGGACTGACATCAGTTAGGGAACCGTTGAAAATCTGGGAGCACTGGACAGCTGTTTCTTCCTAGTATGGGACTCCTCAGCAGTACGCACAGACAGAAGTTGGAAATTCTGAACCACTGAGAACCGACCTAGTGGCTGAGTGGTTTACGCGTTCGCCGTGAAACCTGAAGGTCCCGGGTTCGATCCCTAGCCGGGTCGTAAGTGCGTACTGTTGAGGAGTCTCATACTAGAATGAAACAACTGTCCAGTGCCCCCAGATTTCCAATGGTTCCCTAACTGATGTCAGTCCAGTCTAAATTAAAAATCCCCATTCCTCTCAAAAACATAATACTGATAGTTTCCGACAAAAACTTTTATGATACAACGGTGGAGTAATTGAAATACTATTCAACTGTGAAATGTGGCTGTCTTAAAGAGTACAGTTTGTAGATGTGACAAAGTATATTCATCTTTCAGGTGAATAGTCTGAACTGTGTTACCTTTTCTGAACTAGATGGTGGGATCCTGAAGCTGTCATCATCTTCCTAAACAATGTTATAGCAAATTGCAAGTTGAAGATTACAGTTAACGTCAAATTTTCCTACTTATTATATCTCTGTGTAGTAATACTTACATTGTTTGCATTCACTAAAAAAATACCAACTAGAAGAAATCAAAGTTACTGTTGAAGTTTCCTCATGAAGTTACTTGCAGATACGATGAACAAGATAAGGTGTATATTGCGCATATCTATTTAAAATGTTACCACTGTTTTGCAGATTTTTATATTTTGACAGCTTTTTAATGATAAATTTTTTTTTTGAAGTGTTTACTTCATATTGAAAAAGCCTGTTAATTTTTGGAAGTATCAAAGTGCTGTATTTCGACTTTATTTCGGTTTATATGTTCTAATCAGTTTAAAGTATTTTTACTCTTTGTTCTGTTTATTTAATACAATTAAAAAAATTTTTTTGGCATTCAAGAGGTTACATAAAGTTTTAGGTTGTTTTAATAGTGTAGTGCTATGTCTACGTGAACTCACTACTGGTTATATTCTGTAGTCACGAATCTATCTGAATATCACGACACGTACTATTCAAGTGTAGTGAATAATCGTCTGAGGTTGTAATATACCCTGTTGACGTATTAAAGCACTTACTTTACGCTTTTCTACCTATGCTATTTATTGATATCGTTTTGTCACGCTATTCACCTTGGACTCTTTTTTTAGAACTCTAAGTAACATATTGTATAATATATGAATAAACAGGCATATTTTCTTGTGAAATCAAAACACAGCTACTAAAGTAGAAATAAAGGTGAGGGAGAAATTTCAAGCTTACCTGTTCACATTGTAATCAAATTTAGACTATTAAGCCGTATAAATAAAGACAAAAACGATTGCTACAAAAATGTCTTGGCAAGATAGTCAAAGAACGTAAACATAAAGACATTTTTAAGAGAAAAATTGAGCTAAAAATAAATGTAGTTTGGTCCCGAACGATACTTATTAAGGATTTCCTACCTTTAAGCTGAAAGACTATAATGACCATGAAACATACAATAGTAGTATACCACAAATAATTTATGCATACATGAAAATGACGATCTAAAACGTCTTCTGAGAAAGTTTAACATTGTTTGCTTCACAAACTAACAATCATTAGACTCTAAATGAAGCTAATATTCACAAAAATGGTCCTAGAGTTGTCAGAAGTTGAATAAACTTTATAGTAGGCTGAAGAAAACACCAGCATTTGGTTCAGTATTTCAAATAATAATAATGGCGTTTTTTTGAAGGATGTTTCGGGAATACTGTAACGACATTTCAACATCAACAACTGGAATAGTGTATGTGTATACATAATACAGTGAAACAGGTATAAATTACATAGAAAAGGTAAGAATATTTACTCCATCTACAACTTTCTTGAAAACGTTGAGTCAATTTATGTAAAGAATCACGTAAGCAATTACATTCATAATAAATAAATTAACGTTACTTTGTGTAATCTCTAATTAGTTCGCTTTCAAAAACAAAAGTTTATCAAGTAGTTCATTTCTAGAACTTCATTGTAGGGGAGATGAGTGAAAGATGCCTATCATATATCGTGTCACGTTGTATCCACTAGTTTACTTGTACATATGAAAGTGTTTTCATCAGAACTTAATAAAAATTATCATCCTTCGTTTCACTGAAAATATGTCTAGAATTTTGTGTGTCAGACAGCAATAGAAGATTATTAGGTAACGTGACATATTGTTGGCTAAAACTTTGAGAATTTCAAAACAAAATGACCGTAGTTGAAAATTGAAAGACCAAGTAACAATGAAGCATTGAAATCCATGAATCAGTTGAAGTTTTTATAAGTTACTCTAACCACATTACAATGGATGTGGACACATACAAACATATTTTGACAGTTGTAAGTACAGTCGAATAACAATTTTTATTCTAATTTGACCTTCTTTGGAAGACATAACTGCTGATTCACAAAGTTATACGTAGTTAAGCCTTTCAATGTCTTAAGTTATCAAGTACAACTTGTCTCCTGAGACAATCAAGCCAAAGAAAGTACTAAAAATTACAAATTTCCACAAACTGAACTCTAACAGTTGACTATATTCTACAAAATCAGCTGTTTTAGTGCCTTTTCTTCAAATAAACTTTTTGACGGTTAGATGACATAGTTTCTTTTGCTCATTCAGTGGCTCTTTCTAGAATTTTCTCATTTCTATTAAAAATCCATTCAGCGAGTACTCTGAATGAGTTTAATGCAAATAAATATTTGCTACTAGGGATTTCGAATAATATGATTTAGTTTAGCCACATAAAATAAACAAACGTTAACAATTATAAGTGAATTACTGTCAAATCCTTAGTGCTACCAACCATGGATGAATTCTTGTGCAAGGAATATTTTTCCTGTAGTTTTTTTCGGAATAGAGTCATATCAGTGGCTTAAGTGCGTAATGTAGTATTGAATTTGATAGGTTCGAATAGAAATTAAATTTACACAAATGATAAGTTTAGTCTTTTTTTCTCGCATATGTGACTTATTAAACACGCAAGACTAGAGAACTATTTCTTAACTGAATATGTACAATTAAAGTTAGTTGTTGCTTACACATTAATAACAAACGTGGGATATATTCTGAGTTGGAATAATAAAGCGATAAATTCCCCATCTTACACACTGTTAGGCAACATTTAGGGTAACACAGTTAGACAAGAAAATATTTTTTTGAATACACTAATAATTAGATGAAGAGCAATCTAAAATCTACATTTGCGAAGGGATAGTTCAGTATTCTACAATAGAAAGAAAAAGTATATAAAACATTATGATGAACTATAGAGGTTTTTTTACCGGTAGATTTACATATCCTCGAAAAGTCTGTCTCATATTACTCCATACTCCTTATTGAAGGATGTGCACTTTAACTTACAATGGTAAATGAATTTTTTTAAAATTTCTGGGTTCGTTTTGTTAATGAATGACTAAAAGTGTGAAATCCCTCTCTGCCGAAATATAACCATTTATTCATTAACAGGAACAAAACATGTATCAGTGAAGAAATATTTCTTTTCAATGACTTCATTATCAAGCTATACGGTCGTATTTATACTCGATAAAGTGACAGACAATTGCACTAGAAAGTTGCTCAGACAATATGCAAATATACAATCGGTGGAGGCGGTGGTATCTGTTCAAGTAGAAGAGATAGAAAATGGATCATTGAAAAAGGAACGAATTGATAACAAGTGGTGAGATAAGAGACAAGTTTTATCAAAGAATTGTACAATAGTGATGATTAAGCTGAAACTTGTAAAATAAGTCAATGTATAAGGAATGAATTGATATTAGGGAGTGGAATATGGGTCCAGTGTTGTCAATGAAAAGAAAATTGGTGATAATGATAGAAATAAAAGAGAAGTATACCAAAGTGAACTGAAATTGACAAAATCAACAAAATGAATTGTTATGGCCAAGGAAGAGAAAGTGGTTTCACAAAACGTTTATGAATGCAAAGTTTCGGTTTTTGTTCATGTATAGCTAATGTTTCAGCTATGCATAAGTGGCAGAAACGTAAAACTTTGTAGTGGTTCATTTTAACTTTGTAAATTATTTTAAAGGATGAATTTTGAGGTGCTGAGTGACCCAGTTCAACAAGGCGTTTTCCTTTGCTCGCCTCTGGGGAGACAAACCAGACAGTGTTCAGCAACACGTTTTCGGAGGGCCCGATTACAACGTCCAATATAGTCAGCTCCACAGGAGCATGTGAACTTGTAGATACACACAGATGTGGACATAAGTGAAGCCTATCCTTCGCACATCGACGAATCAGACTGCGGCTGGAGAATATCAATCTCAGTCTAGCAGCATAGAGGCTACTTTGATACATCTGGACAGACGATTTTTCAGCACTTTGGCCGTGGTGTCTCCTTTGAATTCTAGATTCATGGTCGAAATCTTCTCAGAGGCTGAAATGGGATGGAGAGTGGTTCGTGTCTTCAGATTCTTATCAATAAATCTTTCAGGGTATCTGTTCTTAGATAGTATTGTTCTAAGAATTTCGATTTCAGCATCCACCGTATCTTCTGAAGATATTCTGTAGATTCTGGAACACAAAAAGTGAATGAGATTTCTCTAACAACCAAGAGGTGCCCAACAATTAAAGTTAGTGAACTGACCGGTCCAAGTTGGTTTTTGATAAACTGGCCTTTGAATCGAGCCATCATCCCTTCTCTTTAACGTTAAGTCTAGAAAGTGGAACTTTGAGTTTAACTCTTCCTCTGCAGTAAATTTAATGGACGGATGACAGTCATTGAAACGTCTTAACAGCCCAACCACTGAGCATATTCCGTCACAAATAAGAAAGGGTCGTCCATGTACCGTTTATAGAAATAAAGTTCCGAAATCGTTTCTTTAAGGGTCCCATTTTATAGCGTTGTCATAAAGATATCAGCCAGGATAGTGTTTAGTGGAGACCCCATTGCAATTCCGTCCATCTAATTATGAATCGTGTCGCTGAATCTTAACTGTACATTAAATGTACATCTTTATATTACTTCTTTAAGCGAGCTGATAGGTAATTTAGTGGTAATATTATTAGAATCGATGTAATCACATAGATAACAAACAGTTTCAACAAGTGGAACATTGGTAATTAGAGAAGAAACATCAAGCGATATCATACGCTTAACCGTTGCGTTGATGTCTCTGATGCAGCGAACAAAGCCAAATGTGTTGGGAAGACTATATTTGCACAGATTTGATCTCACCGGTTCAAGCATTTTTGCAAGCCACTTTGCCAATGAGTGATAAGGTGAATTAAGCATACCCAGTACGAAATGAATCCAAACACGTTGCAGGTAAATATGTTGAATCACAGTGTCGCTGGAGTTATTCAGGTGACCACAATGGAAAATTGGTGGATAGATTGTAACCAGCAGTCAAGACATTACTTGAAGTGTAACTTTTGTTAGAGCCTGTTGAAAAGTTGGTACATTTAACTCATATTTCTGATACTACTTTTAGATATCTTAGTAGACTGTTATTTATCTCAAATGAAAAACAGACATTAAGAATCTTCAATGACAACAAGTGGTGTCAAATAAAGTTGAAAATACTAGCTTTCAACTTCTTTGTAAAGATTATGATGAAAGCGTTGTAAAGTAGCTAATCTATCTGTGTGTCAAAATCTAATCTAATTACAGATGATTTACTAGATGCGTCGCACAGT